TACTAGCTTCTTTAGCGGTTGTCTGATTCAAGGGGAAATGTAACCAAAGAGCAAAATTAGGTCTCAGAAGCGTGAGCTCTGATAACTCAACGGGTATTTTTGCATACCAGCATAGGCCGTATCCCAGAAAATATGGCGCATTCCAGATTCATGCGCTATTTTTCAATGATGAGGGAGTGTTCAAGGGTAAATTAACGGCTTGAGACACCCAATGCAGCTGCCCACTTATCCTCTACCATATAAGAAATAAATGATACTGAATCAGAACATATACTTTACAGCTGTGACCTGATCAAAGCTGATGTACTCCAAATACCAGATGCTCTACATGGTCACTTTGACATCGTGATTATGAACCCTCCATTTGGAACTAAGAAGAACGAAGGTAATCATTTTTCATACTGGTCAACGCTATGGCAAACGCTCGAACGCCAGGCTTTTTCTCAATAAGTTGTTTTTTTTGTCCCAATAAACGGAAGGAAGTAACGCATTCACTACAGACCAGGGCACGCCATCGCGTTGTGATCATTTCCTGGGGAGGCTTTTTCCTTCACGGATAGCTACAAAGGGGGGGGAAAGAGGAAAATTCCTCAGATTTTCCCTAACCTCCTACCAGTTTTTCCGAAATTTCCCTCTGGTTTTTCCCCAAAATTTTGCTGTCGAGCGGAAGGGGGGGGGGAAGCCGTCAGGATTTAACTGTCATTTTTCAACTATCGGAAAAGTAGTTAGATCTCTGGCAGTCCCTCTCTCAACAACAACCAAATACAACCTCCCCCTTCGTAGCTGTCCGTGAAGCAAGAGGAATCAACTACCAAAAAAATTTTTCTCAGACCAAATACGACCTCCCCACTCCCTCGCGGTCAAAGACCCCCGTTGTGATCATCACAACAATGGCGTGCCCTGCTACAGACATTACTCCCATATGCATGCATGAAATACCGTTCTCCATAACCAGGTTTTCCTTCAAGAGCGACTGATTAATTCCGAATGTGGTTGGGAGGGTAAATGTTCACTGGGACTTCAGCTAGCCTTAGGAGTCACTGTAGAGGTAAAATTCAATTACTGGAAGGTATTCGCGTTAGAAACCCGTGCTTGAGCGGATACCTAGGAATTCGGTCCACCGCTCCCATTAAGTGCGCGAAAGACGTTCGAAA